GCCGGCGGTGCTATGGCTCATCCAGGCAAGCAAGCGCCCAGAGAGACTGCCAGTGCTCCAACTCCGGGGTTGCCCCCTGAAGACAGAGAGAAAAAAGAATAATCTCACTAAGTAAGTAACAGAAGGCCTATCTATTCGGAACAACAGACCTAAAAATAGCGTGAATAAGTTAAATGTTTATAAAATCTGGATTTATTAATTTTTCTTTGTTGCAACATAAATTATTCTCAAATAACAGAAGGATTTAACAGTGTTCAGTTGGTTATATATTAGACTCAAAATTACATATTTTTTAAAAAAATTCTCAGTATATAATACAAGGAAAATCCTAATAGAATTTACAAAGCCACTGTAGTTCACAAGTACAGGAGCTAAGGTTGTAATGAATCATACAGGAAATCTGTCATTACAGGTAGAAGAAAAATTACATGAATTGGCTAGGATTTTTATCACAAACCTCAGAATTTATTTTCTTTAAAATAAATGCATTATACAAAAAAAAATCACTACAGAGAGGCACACGGTGTTTAGTTGATGGCATTAATTCTGTAACCCAAACAAGGATACTAATCCACTTTGAGTAGTTAAATTATTTTTTGCACTATTTACATACTTTACTGAAGTATTTTCATCCCAGAGCCTCAGCAAGCATCTTAGAATATTAATGAGTGAAGCCTGGCAGCACTCCAGTGTTAGCAAATAAGAAAGTAAAAGCATTCCCATTTTAGCAATAGGGAAACTGAGGCACTGGCATTATTCAGATCCAGGTAATGGCAGAAAGAAAACTCTTGGATCTTGATCCTCTTAGACAGGTCTTGATGGAGAGACTGTTCTTCCTCCTTGTTAGACTGCTGGTGACCGTGCTGAGCACTGTTTGAAACCTGGTCAGGTTTTTTTTCATGTTTAAATTGCTGCGAAATAGGTGACATCTATCTCCAGCTGATCACCTTTACTCAAAAAAGGCCATTAATGGTTTTCCTTTTCAGACCAAAAAGCAACAACAGGAAGAAGTGCATCTTCAAACCCTCCACAGACCTTTGGAAGGCTGTGTCATTATACCTAAAATACTGCAATTGTTCCCTTGATTTGTGCAAAGGTAAATACAGAAATCCAGTAGCTTTGAAAGACAGAATTGCATTATTTATTAAAAAAAAAAAGTAAGAGCTACTGTACAAGAATGCGAAACAAAAATACAGCTTTAAAGATAAAATGTATATATGGATAGAGTAACTATGCTCATGGAAGCTGTAATTTAAATTTTTGGGCATTGAGAACATTCCTCTTCATCAATCAAGTACTTGAAACAAGTTATCTGAGAGATTCTCAGCCAGGACATGGCCTCTATAAACCAACACGAAATGTTCACATGATCTGTAATCAGAAGAATTTTACTTCCTGTGACAGCAAAATACCAGACCACATCAATAAGATTACTCCAAAAGACCTCTAAAAATAACTCAGCGATGTTTGCCGAATGACTAAAAGGGAGATAATAACATATTGCAGATCTGAGATGACAAGAATTTGAAAGTTAAGAAAAGCCTAAAAAGCCAATACTTGAACTTAGGAGCCAGCATAAATCCAGCAATTTAAAGGCCACTAGGGAGTGTGCATAATTTCACAGAATCACAGAATGGTAGGGGTTGGAAGGGACCTCTGTGGGTCACCTAGTCCAACCCCCCTGCC